TGCATCGGCGATGCGGCGCGATCTAGAACCAGGTGGCCGACTCCTGGCGCACGACGGCGTGACGACTCCGAACCTGCGCCGCGAGGCCGCCGTCTCGTCGTCCGTCGTCCTGCCGCGCGCGCGCGACCTTCGCGCAAACCCGGGCCGACGTGTGCCCGAGCACATAGGCGCGTCACTTTTGCACGCCGGTCGGAAGAAGCAGGCAGAAACAGGAAGTGGGAAGGCGGATCAAGTAGATTGGGTCCGGGCCCGCCCAAGGCATACCAGACAGCAGCCAAACCAGATCGACTCCTGGAGTAGGACGGCGCCTGAAGCAGGCTGTGCTCTGGGAATCCAGAAGTGCTTACCGGGCAGTTTTTTATACAGAGGATGTTGACACATATAGGAGTTCATTACCTGATTCGTGTATGAATACATGTATGCATGAACGCATCGTCGTTCTTAATACTGAACCCCTGCATTTATCGGGGATGGACAGACCCCCCTTTAGTAAAACGTGGTTTAGTGAAAACGACCTGAGGCCCAAACCTGGCGGGCGCAAGCCTGGAAAATAACGGCCACGGCGCCCTCTCGAGAACCGAAAACGGACAATTCACTAATCGACGTGTCACTGTTGGGGGTTCTGTCCACCCCCGAATTTATCATACATGATCCGCACGCGGAGCATGCGTTTGAAAACGGCACTGTGCTTTCAACGACCGGCGGGCACCTCCGTCGCCTTCCGCCCGCGGGCCCCTGCCGCCGACTCGTCTCGTGCTGTGGCCCTCGCGCCTTCGCCACCCTTCGCCGGCCTGCCCACCGAGTGGGCGCGAGGGCGCGCCGGCGGCGAGGCCGTGTCTGGAACGCCCCAGAGCGTCTCCATCCCAATGGACGTCGTCGTCGTCGTCTCGTCGTCGTCTCCTCCTCCTCCCTCCTCCTCCTCCTCCTCCTCCTCCTCCCCTCCCCCTCCTCCCTCCTCATCCTCCTCCTCCTCCTCCTCCTCCTCCTCCTCCTTCCTCCTCCTCCTCCTCCTCCTCCTCCTCCTCCTCCTCCTCCTCTCCTCCCTCCTCTCCTCCTCCTCCTCCTCCTCCTCCTCCTCCGCCTCCTCCCTCCTCCCTCCTCCTCCTCCTCCTCCTCCTCCTCCCTCCTCCTCCCTCCTCCCTCCTCCCTCCTCCCTCCTCCCTCCTCCCTCCTCCTCCTCCTCCCTCCTCCCTCCTCCTCCTCCCTCCTCCCTCCTCCTCCTCCCTCCTCCCTCCTCCCTCCTCCTCCTCCTCCTCCCTCCTCCTCCTCCTCCTCCTCCTCCTCCTCCTCCTCCTCCTCCTCCTCCTCCTCCTCCTCCTCCTCCTCCTCCTCCTCCTACGTGTGGCACCCTGGAGCTCGCGTGCATCCATGATACCCACCGCTTGCCCGTCGTCGTGGTCGAGGCCAGGTCTGGAACGCCGTCACTGGTCCGTCGCCGATGTATCTGTGATGCGGGCGGCCTCCGCTCTGGCGTCGGTGGCAGTCGGACCCGGGACAGGAGAGCGCCCCTCAAGAGCACGAGACCCTCCATCGGCCGAACCGGAGGGCATTCCAGGGTACCCTCCCCCAGGGATGCGCAGGAGCGCCCAGCAGGCACGAAGAACATTTAGGGCACCCTCCCCGAAAGGACCTCGATCCTGTACCTCGGTGCGACTGTCCAAGCAAGAGCGGCGCTGGGCAAGGGAGACATCCAGTGCGTGGCTTGCTGATCGTTGCCTGCGATGCGACGGCAGCGGCCTGCGTGCTTGGGGTTGACCCTCCCCCCAGCGCCCCCCCAGAAAGCGACGCACCAAAGGCCACCCCAGCGAATGGCCACCCTTACCGTAGGGCCCCGACCACAAGAGACCCAACCCTGAGACCCCAGGGCGTCCATTGAATTTTGGTGTGGGGACGTCACGAGTTCCATCGCGAAACCATCGAAACCCGAGAAACCCGGGCCACCCTGGAGGCAAGCAGGGTGCTTCTTGGCGTGGGTCTCCACGCAAAACCATCGAAACCCGAGAAACCCGGGCCACCCTGGAGGCAAGCAAGGGGCTTCTTGGCGTGGGTCTCCACCGTACGTGTATCCGATGCAGGGCGGCCTTCCAGCTCGGGAAGTCAATCAGGGTCCCCTGGCCGCAGTCCAGGACCGTGTCCGTGGCCCGGAACAGGGCGACGTGCTTGCCCTTGTAAGGGCCTGCCGGCGAGGCCAGGAAGATGCGGAGACCGACATGGAGGAGGAAAGATAAGGAGTTAGACCGAGGATGCATCAGCGATGCTGGCGCACCGTCCCGTCCCAGGTCCCCTCCTCATAAGTTCCTGCGGGTGCCTAGCTCTACGACGCGGATCACCACCTTGGAAGACAAGCAGACTGAAGAGCTTACCATTCAGGCGAAAACCCGTTTTGAAAAGGATACGCACTTGATCTTTGCAGCTAGCTCAGATACGTGTACGCAAACTCAGGCCATAACGTCAAAGGGAATTTCAAGCCAGAGCCCGCTTAGAACAAGGACCACCCTCGATCCATGGAACTCTCGGGCATGTTTAGCTCTGAGCCGTGCAAAAAACGGGGAACATCTTTGAAAAGCACCCGCCCTCAGCTGGTGTAGCTGCTACAAACATGTACGACGAATGTGCGCGGCGCCAGGGCAGGACTCCCCTGTCAATGCTGGGAAACAGAGGGGTAGCTTGTGGAAACATTTAGAACGAATGCGCGCGGAGCTCAAGCAGACCCGCCATCGATCCGTGTAGCTGCAGGGAGATTCAATATTCAAGATTCTAGATCATGGCACTGTGAGGAAGTGCGCGTCGGGCGCAATGTCCGGCCCGCCCTGCCGACACCGTCTGGTGGTGCTACAAGGACGATAGAGGCGGAGGAGGAATACGGTGTTCGGGCCTTCTTGAGGCATCCTGGAGAGGCCCTCGTCGCCACGGCTGGATGCTGGATCAGACTCGATATCCTGGACAGAAAGCGGTACATGACATGTCTAGGGGGAGGAACCTACATGACGTGCCTAGGGGTCGATTTCGAGCGGGCGAAAGGACCCTTTCTCGTCCTCCACGAGGAAGATGCCAAGACCTCCGCGCATAGAACAAAAGCACCCGCACTTCTGTCTCGCTTCTGGTTTCGTGACCCTAACTCATGGGCCTGGGGTGAAAACTCTGGTTGCGATTGTTCTAACGACGTCGTGTTGTTCCCACTGGAACGGATGTCTGGGGTCGACGGGGCCGATGGAGAGGGAGGGGGAGAAGGCTGGGGGAGGTGGAGGAAGGAGGATGAAGGGGGAGGAAGCGACTCTGTAAAGAGCACCTGAACAGAGAGCGGCGGGAAGCGGACAGCAAGGATATGGAGGAGCGCGTGGCGAAACGGTGACCTTGGACCAGGCCCAGAGGCATGTGCAGAGGGGCCTATGTTCAGGTTGTTCTGCACGTTGCCCACCTGGCTGCCCGACTCCTTGCACAATATTTTGTCCTGCCGCGGCGCAACCGCGTTGAAGGACGGCGGGAAACAAGGAAGCTTCACGTCTGCCCCGTGTCCCCCAAACAAAAATGTGTGGCGCAGCTTCAGGCCGTGTATCCAAGAGACCTCCCCATCCAACTTCCGGAGGTCTGCCAGGGGGGCCTCCAGGGGAGAAAAGGTTTTTCAGGGAGGCCCCCCCATCCACCTCCCAGAGGTCCAGGGGAAGACCTCGCGGAGGTCCAGGGAAGGTCTCCAGGATACCTCCCTCTGGAGGAGGAGACCCTCCGGAGACCTCTGGGAAACCTTCTCTTGTGTTGTGGATACCATGACAATGGACACCCTAACAATCTTATCATTGAATCAAAGATGTGGTTTTAACATGAACAAAAAGTAGTTTAAAAATGGTTGAAACATGTCTAAATGTTCAAGACATGTTTGAGACATGTTGTAGACATATGGGAACTATTTGGCAGCCTGCTTCCTCTCCTTTGATCGATTTGTCAGCGTTTTCTTGTTCGGCGTTTCGACATTGGGCGGAAGGGGGGGGGGTCTGGCTCCGGACCTCTGCTTAGTGCGACTGTTTGCGGCAGTGTGTCCTATGGTGGAGACTCCACCTGCCCGAAACAGGCGACACCAAAACAGCCGAGACCCACCCCAGGGGGGGGGAGGAGGGGGAGGAGGGAGGGGGTGCGAGGGCCCGCGCCGAGCGGCAAAAGAACGAGTACAAGAAACGCTCACCCTGCGCAGCTCTTGCGCTCAAGGCCGTTTCGCCCTCCTGGCCCACGCTTTCCTCGCCCTCCTCCTCCTCCTCCTCCTCCTCCTCCTCCTCCTCCTCTTCGCCCTCCTCCTCCTCCTCGCCCTTCAATCGCCCTCCACACCCTCGTCGCCGTCTTGCTCCTGCTCCAGCTCCAGCTCCTGCTTCTCCTCCTCGTCCCCCCCCTCCTCCTGCTCCCTCCTCTTCCGCTCTTGCGCTCAGGGCCGCGCCGCGTGCCACCTGCAGCCCAGGGGGTGCCGGGAGCGCCTCCCTCGATGGGGCCCGTGCCGGGTGCGGCGGGCCCCTCGCCCCTGCCCCGCCGCGGCCCCCCCCGCCCCTGCTCCGCGCGCGCCTGCTGCGCGCGTGCCTCTTGGGCGGCGCGTGCTCGCCGCCCCTCGTGGGCCCCCCCCTCGCCTTCCCCCCTCGCATGCTTGAGCAGGGACCGACAGTTTCGGCATCCCTGTAGGCCTGCAGTCGAGGCGTTGACCTAAGGAACCCTAAATGAGAGACGAGGCCCCTATTATCCATAAGTTGAACTTCAATTTCGCATCGAAAACCTAAGGAAACTCCAAGGCAAGCTGCGAAACAATCAAGGAACACGGAGCCCCTCGCCAACGAAAAGGGTTCCTTCTTCAGGGCCCCGACTGTACCACGAAGCGTTCTCAGGGCCCCAACTTGTCCCAAGAGCAGAAGCAATGTTCTCAGAACCTAAGACCCGACGTGCTACAACAAGACAGTCCCAGCCAGGCATGGTCTGAGAACATGTCGTGCAGACCACACATGGTTCTTAGAACATTATTTGGTGGGCCTTTAGGCGAGCCAGGACGCTTCGCCACTGCTTGACCTCTTGCGCCTCCCCCCCCCTCGCATACCTGACTGCGCATAGGATAACACGGAGCCCGTAGAGCCGGCCGAGGGGAGAGAGGAGCAGAAGATGTTCCAGATCTCACTGCACCCTGGGGCCTTGGGCTCGGGCGCGTCAAACGTTTCTGGCTTGTCCATCTTGCCTGGAAATCGCCCAACAGAGCAAGTCCGTTCAGCACTGGAAAGACGAGAATTTCGAGAAGTTTGGCCGACCCAAGTTGCAGCGGGCGGCCAGGCAAGACTGCCTGACCGCGCGCTGCCCCCCGCTTTGGACTAGCCGTTGCTTCCCCAGAGGCTTCGTTATCACGCCTCCGCGATGCATGTGCGCGAACTTGCTTCTATTATAGGAGGCTGTGTCTCCCTCTCTTCTTTTATTCTCTCTCTCTCTCTCTCTCTCTCTCTGCCTATCGCTCTTCTCACCTGAGAGACTGCGCCCAGTGCGCCTCTGAATGATACGCACGGTGGACGCCTGGGCACCTTGGAAGCCCCGACGTGAGATCGGCGAGGCGTTGAATTTGGGACCGCGGTTCAACACCCCCCCGCGCCCTCCTTGACCCTCGCGTCGAGCGCGACGGGAGGACCCTGCAGTTTGCGGGGGTCGGCTTCGCTCCTAGTGGAATCAAGGCTCGGCGCAGTGGCGCATGCCTGCTGGCTGGCCCTGGGTGCATGGCAGCCGTGTGTCTGAGTTCGAGCTTGGCGGGGCGTGCCTGGGATAAACAATCGGTCTGTCCCGCCGCGCACGCGCCTGAAAGGCTCGAGCTTTACTCTTCCTCAGAACGTTGCCAAACTTTTTCTTGTTCTTCCTGAAGCGGGGCTGGGAGGCCGCGTGGACCTTGGCCGCTGCCCTTCTGCAACCTGAAAGGATGACGTATGGGCCATGGGTGCCGTCGGGCGGGGAGTTGAGCCCGTTGGATAGAAACGGACTGGGCCGCCTCGGGCCAGCCTCTGGAAATTCTGAAGCGCCATTTCCGTAGGGGGACTCGGCATCTAGTGCGGATTCGTGCAGTGAGCTTTCGGGTGTGCCTCGACCTTGCCGAAGGCAGGCGAATGCCCTCTTCGGAGTGAACCACGCTCGGTTCGCAGTCACCCTGGTACGAGGCACTGTTCGATTGGCCGGTCGCTCGCCGGCGTGCGATCTGAATGGGACGAAGCTGATAACGATAGCAGCGCCACGTAGCGCGACTCAAGGCAGTGCCTTTGTTCGCGGGGTTTGGCTGTTCTCCCCAAGGTCTTGTTCTGTTTAACTAACAGCAGGAGGTCGGGCGCCTCGCCAGTCGCAAGGCTGACGGGACCAGGGTGCATGCAAAGTTTTAGATGAGGCCCTCCTCCTCCGTTTTGCCGATCCGCCTGGGAAATTCCTCCGAAGAGGTCGGCACAGAGGCCTGCCTGCATTTGTTCGGTGCCGAGTGCAGTGCCCTGGACGACCTCCGAAGGCAGGCATGGCAGCGCTGCTGTGCTATGCAGCATCGGATCTTGGCGTGGCAGGTCGTCGTGACCGCACACGGGCTGTTCTGAGGCTCCCTCTTCACGTCGGAGATGTTCGCGGTTTGCAGGCTGGGTGCCCTCTCTGGAATCCGGCGGAATGCCATCGCTTTCAATCAGCAGAGCCTCGCCTCAACCCAGCTGCAGGAGGGGGGTAACTGGAGATGAACTGCGCGGACAAACCTCTGTGCCCGAGGCTAGAGTCTGCCTGTGAACCGCTAGGCTCAGCAGTTTGGGCACGCTACAAGAATGTTGGTGGTGGCCCCATTGGCTGCAGCAGCAACTGGATCGGCTGAAAGTATGTAATTCGCTATTTGCTTACTGCCACTCGCCGCCGTCGTGTTGCCATCGCTGCGCAAGTCGCCATTACTACAATCAGGTGAACACTATGTATTGGTATTGAGGCACCCGCACGCGCTCAGGAACAGGCTCGGGCTCAGGTTCTGGCTCGATCTCGGACTCGGTATCAAGCTCGCGCTCGGGCTCGGGCTCCAGCTCGGGGTCGGGCTCGCGCTCGGGCTCGGGCTCGCGCCCGAGCCTGCGCACGCACACGCGCACGTGCACGCGCTTTTTGCGTCGGCGGCTGGGCAGAGAGTGACTGCTCTGGCACTCTGGCAACAGGGGACGCACCGTGTATCCGCGATGCACGAGGGAGAAGGAGAAGAACCCGGCGCGACAAGGAGAGAGAAAGCCGGGCCCACTCGGGCAGCAGCGGCGCGGAGCTGCGGCTGGGGGGGGTACGCACGCACACGCGCACGCGCACGCGCACGCACACGCGCACGAACAGCACACGCACACGCTAGCGCAGACGCGCGCGCACGCGCACGGGCACGCGCACGCGCACGCATCCGCGCACGCGCTCAGGATCGGGCTCGGGTTCGCTCGGGACCGCCCGCGCGCGCGCACGCGCGTTCACGCGACATGCCCCCGTTCGAGAGCGAGGCGCGACTACGATTCGAGGATCCCGACCCCCAGGCTCCGTCACATCTCCCTTCCCCGTCCCTGTCTTTCTGCTCGAAGCCCCAGGCGGGTTGAGGCTCCAGCGCGAAATTGTTCAGTGGTTCCCGCAGAGTGTGCCGACAAGCAGGGTGGGTTACAGCACTCGATTCTGACGACGGAAAATCGCTCCAGCAGGTGATGTCGACATGAAAGGTGTGCTCCATGACTGCGTGGTTCCCAACCACCCCGCGATGTTGGGTCCTCGTTTTGAGGAGACAGCGCCCCGCGTCTTCCCTCCCGCTGCCCTCCCTCCTCCCGTCCCTGCATCTGCCCTCCGTAGTCTCTGCTTCGGCACACCCCTCACACGCTTCATGGCTTCACGGGAGCTCCACCTAAGGCCCCAGTGGCTGCGTTCGCATGCCTTCTCCATACAATTCCTGCGCACCCCTCACACGCTTCATGGCCACCTAAGGCTAAGGCCTCAGTGGCTGCGTTCGCATGAATTCTCCATGCAAGTTCGGCGCACCCCTCACACGCTTCGTGGCCCCATAGGGAGCTCAACCCAAGACCCCAATGGCTGCGATCGCATGCCTTCTCCTCACAATTCTGGCGCATCCTTCACACGCTTCATGGCCACCTAGGGCTAAAGGCCTCAGTGGCTCCTTTCGCATGCCTTCTCCACGCCATTTCGGCGCACCCCTCACACGTTTCGTGGCCCCATAAGGGGGCTCCACTGGAGACGATACGCACTCACAACTGCATATGGTTGGGTCTTTCGCCAGGCTAATTCTGGAGCGCGAGCGTTCCAGCAGCCAACGGCGTAGGCTCCAGCACCCAATTCTCACGAACGAAAGTCACGAGCCAACCTACAGTCCATTCAACAGGTCCACTAGCCAGACATTCATCAAATTCTAAGCACGCCTTCGCGATGCTAAGACAATTCCAGCGTAGGTGCAATATGCATAGTTTGCGATGTGGGACTTTTGACACGCGACGCTTGACTGCTGCAAGCGTGAGCTTGCGCACGGAGCTTTGGAGTGATAACGAACCTGTCGCAACAACTTTGTCTTGGTGAAACAACTATCGAGGTCAGATCACTTGTTGCGTGAGGTCCAGCACCACATTGTTTGGACAGTCGGTTGGAACAAGTGCCGACATCAGGGGAACCCACACTTAGAACTCGAAAGGGTCGTCATCACAAAACTGGGCAGGTCCACTAAAGGGCCGCCTCGGGGATTGCTTGGGCCGTCTTGGGGCTCACTTGGGCTGCATTGGGGCTGTCTTGGGGGCCTCTTTTTTACAACAAAAAGTGAGACGGGCGCACGTACACAAATACTGACTAATGTGCCAGATTCTCTGTGGAAAACACAAGTCAATATCCTGGTGCGTTCTCGCCGTCTCGGGCTTCCGACACCTCGGGACCGCCCCAGCGGTCTCCAAGATGGGCCCAAAGCGGCCAAAGAAGCCCCCAAGATCGCCTCAGGACGGCCCAAAAGGGACTTTTGACGCACGACGCTTGACTGCTGCCAGCGTGAGCTTGCGCACGGAGCTTTGGAGTGATAACGAACCTGTCGCAACAACTTTGTCTTGGTGAAACAACTATCGTGGTCAGATCACTTGTTGCGCGAGGTCCAATACCACATTGCTTGGACAGCCGGCTGAAACAAGTGCCGACGTCAGGGGACCCCCCACACTTAGAACTCGCAAGGGTCGTCATCACAAAACTGGGCAGGTCCACTAAAGGGCCGCCTCGGGGATTGCTTGGGCCGTCTTGGGGCTCACTTGGGCCCCTTGGAAAACGGGGGAAAAGTATACACCACACCACCCCGACGTCGTCCCTGACCCTTAAAAAGTCGTGGGGTTGAAAAACAGCCCGCCACGGGTTTCGTATATGTTCCAGCTTGCGACCTGGCGCCCGAAGGGGCCATCGGCAGCGGCGGCGGCGCGGGCGGGTCTGTCCCGCAGGAACGGCTTCGACTCGCGCATGGGGTGCGGGACCCGCCGGCAGTTCCTCGGGGCCGGCGGCCGGGATGCGTCCCTCGCCATCGCTCGGACGTCCCTTCCCTGTGCTTATTGTCGGTTTCGTGCGTGGTTTCTTCGCCAAATGATCAAGGATGCTCCTGGATGGTCCTCGCCGAAGGAAAAATGCACACGTCCGAGCGATGCCAAGGTCCCCCTCCTCTTGCTGCTGCGGCCCGCCCTCCTGCCCCTCCTCCCCCTGCGCCTCGGCGCCTGCTGAAGCCAGGCAGCGGCGCTGCTGGAAGGCCCCCCCGCCACCCCCAGGCGAGCCCGGGATCGAATCGACAAGAATCGGATCGCCGATCGTAAAGCGCGGATCGGCGGAAATCGGCAGGCCAGTAGCCCTGCATTGAGAAATCGGCCTCCAAATCGGAATCCGAAGTCGAATCAAATCGGAATGCGAAGACATCGAGGTCGAATCGAATCGAATCGAGGGGGTCGAAATGAGCCCTGCCCCCCCCCTTTACGACCTCGTCTTGCCCAATGATTGCCCTGACCGTGAGGGTCAACCGCGATAGAGGCTTGCAACCACCGTGCTCTGTACGCTGGTGACACCAGGGAGCTGGTGGTCCCTCTGACGGGGTTAGGGCGCCTTGGAGCCATCACTTCGAATTCTGCTCCTGCTTCCGCGCCCCCTTTCTCCTTTCCTTGCTGCTGCGTCTCATCCCCATTTCTTTTTTCCCAACCATCCTGTGGTGTTGGGTCCTCGTTTTGAAGAGACAGCGCCCCGCGTTCACTCCTCCTCCTCCTCCCGCTGCCCCCTCCCTCCTGCCATCATCATCATCATCACCATCATTATCGTCATCATCATCATCATCATCGTCATCATCATCATTACCATCATCATTATCATCATCATTCCTCTCCTCTCCTCTCCTCTCCTCTTCTCCTCTCCTCTTCACCCACCCAGTACACTGTTTCGTGGCTCCATAGGGAGCTCCACCGAAGGCCCCAGTGCCCGCGCCCGCATGCGTCACCCACACCCATTTCGGCACACCCCTCACACGTTTCGTGGCTCCATAGGGAGCTCCACCGAAGGCCCCAGTGCCCGCGCCCGCATGCGTCACCCACACCCATTTCGGCACACCCCTCACACGTTTCGTGGCTCCATAGGGAGCTCCACCGAAGGCCCCAGTGCCCGCGCCCGCATGCGTCACCCACACCCATTTCGGCACACCCCTCACACGTTTCGTGGCTCCATAGGGAGCTCCACCGAAGGCCCCAGTGCCCGCGCCCGCATGCGTCACCCACACCCATTTCGGCACACCCCTCACACGTTTCGTGGCTCCATAGGGAGCTCCACCGAAGGCCCCAGTGCCCGCGCCCGCATGCGTCACCCACACCCATTTCGGCACACCCCTCACACGTTTCGTGGCTCCATAGGGAGCTCCACCGAAGGCCCCAGTGCCCGCGCCCGCATGCGTCACCCACACCCATTTCGGCACACCCCTCACACGTTTCGTGGCCCCATAGGGAGCTCCACCGAAGGCCCCAGTGCCCGCGCCCGCATGCGTCACCCACACCCATTTCGGCACACCCCTCACACGTTCGTGGCTCCATAGGGAGCTCCACCGAAGGCCCCAGTGCCCGCGCCCGCATGCGTCACCCACACCCATTTCGGCACACCCCTCACACGTTTCGTGGCTGCCATAGGGAGCTCCACCGAAGGCCCCAGTGCCCGCGCCCGCATGCGTCACCCACACCCATTTCGGCACACCCCTCACACGTTTCGTGGCTCCATAGGGAGCTCCACCGAAGGCCCCAGTGCCCGCGCCCGCATGCGTCACCCACACCCATTTCGGCACACCCCTCACACGTTTCGTGGCTCCATAGGGAGCTCCACCGAAGGCCCCAGTGCCCGCGCCCGCATGCGTCACCCACACCCATTTCGGCACACCCCTCACACGTTTCGTGGCCCATAGGGAGCTCCACCGAAGGCCCCAGTGGCGGCGCTCACATGCGCATGCGTCCCGCACACCCATTTCGGCACATCCCTGACAGGTTTCGTGGCCCCATCATCCACCGGAGGCCCCAGTGGCGGCGCTCACATGCGTCACCCACACCCACCCAATTCGGCACACCCCTCACACGTTTCGTGGCCCCATAGGGAGCTCCACCGAAGGCCCCAGCGGCCGCGCTCACATGCGTCCCCGCCACCCATCCCGGCACGCCCCTCACAACAACAGGTTTCGTGGCCCCATGGGGAGCTCCACCGAAGGCCCCAGTGCTGCCGCCCGCATGCGTCACCACCCGCACCCAATTCGGCACACCCCTCACACGTTTCGTGGCCCCATAGAGAGCTGCACCGAAGGCCCCAGTGGCGGCGCTCACATGCGTCCCCGCCACACATCCCAGTACACCCCTCACGCGCTTCGTGGCCCCATAGGGAGCTCCACCGAAGGCCCCAGTAGCGGCGCTTACATGCGTCTCCGCCACCCATCCCGGCCCCCCCCCCGCAGCAGCATCATGTTTCGGGGACCCATAGGGAGCTCCACTGGAGGCCCCAGTGGCGGCCCGCACATGCGTTTCCGCCACCCATGTCGGCACGCCCCGCGCGTGTTTCATGTCCCCATAGGGAGCTTCGCCGAATGCCCCAGTGGCACCCATCTCGGCACACCCCTCACACGTTCCGTAATCCTATGGGGAGTTCCATTGAAGATGAAACCCGCAGCTGCGGTACTGACAACTGCATATGGTTGGGTTCTTCGCCAGGCTAATTCTAACCATCCTGTGTTAGGTCCTCGATTTGAAGAGACAGCGCCCCGCGCTCCTCCTTCCTTCCTTCCCTTTCCTTCCTCTTCCCCTCTTCCCTCCTCTATCGTTCTGTCTTTCGGACTTCCGCTGGCACTATCGCGCGCGTGCAAAGTCACACTCCCTCCTCCATCATCATAAACATCAGCATCACCACCCACCCTCGCCCAGCAGCGTTTCGTGGCCCCACTGGGAGCTCCACCGAAGGTTCCAGTGGCACCGCCCGCATGCGTCACCCCCACCCATCACAGCGGTTCATGGGCTCACAGGGAGCTCCAACGAAAGCCCCAGTGGCAGCGCCCGCATGCGTCACCCCCACCCAGTACATCGTTTCGTGGCCCCATGGGGAGCACCACTGAAGGCCCCAGTGGCACCGCCCGCGTGCGTCACCCCCACCCAGGACAGCGCTTCGTGGCCCCATTTCTCCCACCGGCCCCGCGGCAAATGATGACCTCTTCGCCATGCACTGCAAATCACAACAGCGGAATTGTGCTACAGCGTGCGATGGAGGGTTGCATGGTGGCCGCCAAATGGTCCATGGGCCCATGCGTGAACACACACACACACAGATCGTGAGAAAACGGGTGCGGGGCAGGGTGAGACGAGCTCAGAGAGGCAAGGCCTCAAGCCAAATCGAAACGAGACACCCCCGAGGCGGAGAAGGAGGAGGAGAGGGAGAGGACCAGCCAAGCCTCGAGACAGTTCCGATGCCTGTGTGCGCACAGCGCTATGGATTAATCCACCGCCTCGCACACCAATGCGCACAGTCTTGTACACGAAACGCAAGACAGCAGTATGGACCGTGCCCCATGCAATACATGTGGCTGATGAAAGAGAGAGACAGAGAGAGAGAGAGAAGAGAGAAAGAAAGAGAGAAAGAGAGAGAGAGAGAGCGAGAGGGGGAGGAGGAGGAGGAGGCGAGGGACAGACTAGCCCAACTACAGCACACAGCAGGAAGGTCAAGGCAAGTATAACATATGAGATGTCGCTGCGTGGCGGCAGCGCGCCCCGCATGAGCCCACCTAGGCGGCGGGCGGGCAAGCCCAGCGCCGTAGCTGGGGTTGGCCGCCGACGGCCAAATCGGGGCCCAGTTCATGCAAACGGTAGCCCGAAGAAGATCAACAATTCCAGAGAAAAGCATGCAGCTCTTCGTGGCCCCATAGGGAGCCCCACCGAAGGCCCCAGTGGCAGCGACCGCATGCGTCACCCCCACCCAGTATAGCGCTTCGTGGCCCCATGGGAAGCCCCACCGACGGCCCCAGTGGCACCGCCCGCATGCGCCACCCCCTCACCCAGTACAGCGCTTCGTTGCCCCATAGGGAGCTCCACCGAAGGCCCCAGTGGCACCGCCCGCATGCGCCACCCCCACCCAGTACAGCGCTGCGTTGCCCCAATAGGGAGCTCCACCAAAGGCCCCAGTGGCACCGCCTACATGCGCCACCCCCACCCAGTACATCGCTTCGTGGCCACATGGGGAGCTCCACCGAAGGCCCCAACGGCTGCACTCGCATGCGGTTCCCCACCCAGTAAAAAGTTTCGTGGCTCCATAGAGAGCTCCACCGAAGGCCCCAGTGGCACCGCCCGCATGCGTCACCCCCACCCAGCACAGAGCTGCGTTGCCCTAGAAGGAGCGCCACCGAAGGCCCCAGCGGCTGCACTCGCATGCTGTTCCCCCACCCAGTACAGCGCTTCGTGGCCCCATGGGACGCTCCACCGAAGGCCCCAGTGGCACCGCCCGCATGTTTCACCAACACCCAGTACGGCGCTGCGTTGCCCAAAGGAAGCTCCGCCCGAGGCCCCACTGGCTGCACTCGCATGCGATTCCCCATCCAGTACGACGTTTCATGGTCCCACATGGAGCTCCACCAAAGGCTTCAGTGGCGGTGTTCGTATGCGTTTCCCCCACCCAGAACAAGGGTTCGTGGCCCCAAAGGGAGCTCCACCGAAGACCCCAGTGGCGGTGTTGGCATGCGTTCCCACCACCAAGCACAACGCTTCGTGGCCCTATGGGGAGCTCCACCGATGGCCCCACTGGCACCGCCCACATGCGCCACCCCCTGACCCAGTATAGCGCTGCGTTGCCCCACAGGGAGCTCCACCAAAGGCCCCAGTGGCCTCCGTAGTGCGTTCCGCCCAAAGCACCAGTGGCAGCGCCCACATGGCGGCCCCGCCACACATCGGCACACCCGTTCGCATGCTTCATGGCCCCACAAAGAGATCCCCCGAAGGCGATACCCGCAA